TGTGTGGCATTAAAGGATTTGCTCGGTGTAAGAATGGGAGAAGGGAGCCTGACGTCTGGGGACTGTGCACGCTCTCTCCCACATCAGGGATCTCCTCCCAGAGTTTGCCCTACATGCCCAGAATACACAGGGACCCTGGCTGGGTTAACCCTAACCTCCCCAGCCTCAACACACAGCTTCATCCCCCAGTCTGTACATATCCTCAAACTCTAGGAACCCCAACCTTCCTGGGACATTTGCTTCCAACAAATTCCACAGACACCTTGGAGCCCTGATGCCCTCTGGTGACAAAAGCCACACATGGCAGTTACAGTGACTCCTCAGGGCACACTGGGTCAATCTACTGTCATCTGCCAGGTTATTTCCTGTCTTCCTCACATCAAATTTTATGAGGTAAGAATGATCTCCTTTTTCTAGAACTAAGGATATGCAGGTTAAGTAATTACACAATTAATCTGTGGTGGAGATTGAATTGAAGCCCAGGCTGGCATGTCTCCAAAGTCTGTGTTATCATCAGTACGCACAGACTGCTTAGCGTGTGTGTGTGTACATGGGTACTCCAGGCCCTGGAATAGGGGCCACACTGGTCATCTGAGTGTCATGAATGAGTCTATGGCCAGGTTCTCCTGTAGCTGTGACTATGAAATGGCGAGAAGTGGCTCCGGCACCGTGAGGTTGGCTGTTGGGACTTTTTCTATGGCTTTTATGTGACTGTGAGGCTGTAACATACACCTGGTTCAGCTTGTTACTTACGCTGTGTGAGAGTAGCTATGGCAGAGCGTGTGTGGAGGGGTCAGACCGACAGATAGGCAGACAGGCAGACGGACTGGCTGACTGTGCTGTGAGCATTTTGTAGCTGGTGGGGATTGTGGGAGAGAAGGTGACAGAGGGCCCTGAGTTCCCAGCACCGCTGGGCTTCTCAGTCCCGGGACTGAGTCTGCTCACCATGACACACAAGATGGATGGCTTCACATGCCTGGTACGCTCCCCTGGGGCTGAATTCTCATTCTCTCCTCCCCCACTTTTTTTTTCAGGAAGTAAAGCAAATAGTACCACAGATGGAGTTGGTCTTCATTTTTTTTTCCATGAGATATTTGTGAAAGCATTTTACATGCCTTAGGGTGACATCTTTTTTTAAAGAGTCGTTTAAAAAGAAAAGCAAATGGGCCAGAGAACAGGCTCTGCAGGTGACCGTGACAATGGATTCAGAACCTGTGGAACAGTGGAGATCTGTAATCCAACATACCTATGGTGAAATGGGAGCCGGAGACAGGAGAGGCCACAGAAGACTGCAGGCCGGCTCACCTGGATCGTGAATCGCAATGGAGCCCTGATGCCCTCTGTGTCAAACAAGGTGGAATCAGGAGGTGGGGGTGAATATCCTAGATTGTCCTCTGAGCTCCCCCAAACACACACACTGTGATATGCACATGCCCTTGCACACAGACACATTCCTATCATGCAGGCTGATGCTGGAGCTGGCAATGTAGCCCAGGCTGGCCTCAAACTCACACAGAGCCTTCTGTCTCAGCCTGGGATTACAGTCTGAGATAGGAGATCTCAGTGCTGGGATTATAGGTGTGTGCCACCATGCCTGGGTTAGCTATTGTAGTTCTGTAACTTGAACAGTTCTTGAGACGTTCACAGATCCCTGTAAGCGCAGGGTATCCACAGGCAAAAACTATTTGCTAACAATAATAAATTGTTATCTACCACTTTCACCTGCTGATATTTTCACTTAGGACACAAGAGTGACAGCGAGTAAACGTGCTGGCATGTCAGCAGAGATCAAGGCACTTGGCAACTGAACTAGGAGGCTTTGGATTTCCTCTGCCACTAGGCATTGATTATTTTCCCCCAAGGGGAAGGAAGGGCCGGCTAGTTTTGTTTAGAGATGTCCTAGATTAAGTTGTAAAATAACTAGTCTTTTTTAAAAATTAAGGTTTACTTAATTTTTTTATGTGTGTGTTTTGCTTGCATGTGTGTGTACATGCCTGATGACTGCAGCATCCGAAGATCCCTGGACCTGGATTTACAGGTGGTTGGGAGCCACCTGAGGGTACTGGGAATCGAGCTAGGGTCCTCTGCAGGAGAAAAAAAAATGTACTCTTAACCATTGATTCATCTCTCCATCCCCAACTAACTTGCTTTGTGAGCCAAGATCCTAGTTCTCGCCCAGTGACCCAAGTGCTGGGATTATAGGTGTGTGCCTCCACACCCTGCTTAATGAGTAACTGTATTAACTCTTAACCCTTTTGTTCGCCTTTTTAATACTATGTATGATGAAATGGAAAGTATGCTTTATTTACAGTAAGTCTTGGGCTGCTGTCCCACAGGGAATGCAGAGTGCCCACCTACCAGAGCAGGGGTCCTTCTGTACAGGGACAGATCCTGAGATGTGCTCAGGGTCTGATTGCTGGGAGCTCATGATCTGGATTCTCCCAACATAATGAGCTGTAATTCTCAGAACGGAGGTATTTGTCATACCATTTCTCCTAAACAAAAGAAATGAGTGTGTCGGTTCAAGAAATGAAGTATTAGTGTTGGTTGCCAACGATGAAATTGGAGCTTCCATGTAAAAACTGGAATTGGTAAAAGTTTTATCTGCTGTGACGAATTTGAAGCTTCCCAGACCAGATGAGACTGGTGGTAACATTCATGAGTGGGTGTGCCTGCTGAGTTTTTAAATATTATATAATGAGATGTGTCAACATTTAGAAGATCTGCAGGTGACTTGTGCCTGTATGCTAACACTGGAAGGCTGAGGCAGGAGGATTTCTATGAGTTATATTCAAGCCTGAGCTAGGCCAGCCTGGGCTACACCGTGAGACCCTGCCACAAAACCTCAAAATGGGGGGGTGGGGGAGAAGGGGATGAGCTTGATGGCACATGGCTGTAATCCCAGCACGTGGGAGGCAGAAGCAGGAAGTTCAGGAGTTCAGAGTATCCTCAGTTTCATAGTGAGTTGCAGGCCAACGGACTACATGAGAAATTTTGTATAAACAAAGTGTGTGTGTGTGTGTGAGTGTGTGTGTGTGTGTGTGTGTGTGTGTGTGAGAGAGAGAGAGAGAGAGAGAACTGTATAAATTGGTCAAGTAGTATTTTTCAAATGATTTCATGCCTCTTACAAAATCTCGCTTATGTAAAAGAGCTGTCCAAAGTACAAGGCAGATCAATAGATATTTTCCTGGAGACAAGAGTCTTGCATGTTACCTATTCTAATCTTGAACTCATGATTCTCACTGCACAAGGACAGACTGAATAATGTACTAAGATAGGAAAAGTCTTCATTGCCGTTACTCCTTAGGAAGCTACCATCTCCAGCTTTCCTGGAACTGGAAAGAATAGCCACGCTTAGCCGGAAAGGTTGTTTGGCACTTGTCATGTAGCAATTCCCTCTGAGATGAAACAGTCTATCTTAAGATGCAGGATGTTCTAAAGCAGCGGTTCTCAACCTGTGCATTGTGATCTCTTTAACAAATCTCTATCTGTAAAAAACATTTACATTATGATTCATAACAGTAGCAAAATTACAGTTACGAAGTAGCAATGAAAATAATTTTATGGTTGAGGTTACCACAACCATGAGGAATTGTATTAAAGGATTTCAGCATTAGGAAGGTTGAGAACAACTGATCTAAAGGGATGAGAAATACTCCATTCCTTAGGGAAGCTCCTTAAACTCAGGAAGTAAACAACTCAAAAGCTTTAGGAAGTCCCTGAAACTGACCAGATTGACTAGGTTCCGACCTTCCCAAAATTGGATAAGCAGTAAGGACTTCTGAGAGATACTCTCAGACCACCTACCAGGAAGAGACATTCTTCATCAGAGAGACACTTGAGCTGCCTGAAGGCAGTGCAGTGAGCCCCAGGTTTCCAGCTTTCATGACCACATCACTGGTGCTGGGGTGGGCTTTCTGATACAGCGGTCATCCAGTTATTTATGATCCTATGAGTAACCCCTCACCACATTCCTAGAAGTAATGCCAATAAGTTCATTGGTTCACCAGGTTGGATTTGGGTAGTATTCTTACTTCATTCTGTCATGGGTTCACTATTGGGGGTTAGTAGATAATTGTTTACATTTCTCCAGGAAATGGCACAACACAATGGTGCCCAAGTGGGGACTCAATCCAGAGGTAAGTTTGGGAGGAGTGATTGCATGGTCCTGGCTAGGGATCACAGGGGATGGAACTGTGGTCGAACAGTCTGAGGCTGGAATACCCTATGAGCATATGGGGATGGGGTGGGGATCCCAACATGGCTACCTTTCCCTATATGGTATGGGATAGTGTGCTGTGTCAGCAGTCCCAAGCGGGCAGTCTGGGAGGGGAGTTCAGGAGGGAAGTCCCCATGAGGTTATCTTCCTCCATGTGGTATGGGATAGCATGCCTGCTTAATGAATGGGGTCGGTCCAGTGTATGATACAGAGATGTCCTAAAAAGGGTTAAAGGATTAAAACAAAATCTTAGCCCTTGACAGTAACACATAAAGGACAAGAGAGTCACCAGGTTTCCCGAGGTTGCATGACCATTGCTATATGTAGTAAAAATTGTTCCTAAGGTCAAAATGACCACTCGTTGGGAATTAGCTTATGTAAGAGTGGTTAGATAGAGATGCTGTCTTGCTGACCTTACCTCTGACAGAATACTCAGAAAAGACAGTGCAAGCTAGATTCCTGCTCTTTGTGGGATCCAAAACCTTACAATCCACAGAAGGATTCAGAGTACATGGTGGAGGAAATAAAAGATCCTGTCCTGGTTAGTGTTTTGACAACTTGACACAAGCTAGAGCCATTTGGAGGAGAAAACCTTAATTGAGAAAATGCCCCTACCAGATTGGCCTGGGAGCGAGCCTGTGGTACATTTTCCTGATGTGGGAGAGCCCATCTCCCTGTGGGTAGTGTCACCCCTGTGCTGGTGGTCCTGGGTGCTATAAAAAAGCCGGCTGAGTCAGGCACTTGGGGTGCACACCTTTAATCTCAGTCAGTACTGGGGAAGCAGAGGCAGGCAGATCTCTGTGAGTTTGAGGCCAGCCTGGTCTACAGAGTGAGTCCCAGGATAACCAGGGCTACACAAAGAAATCCTGTCTCAAAAAGAAAAAGAGTCTGTTGCTAAATATGTCACATGCTTTGGTTGCAAGACTCAAATACTGCAGCTAAGCCAAAAATCCCTTCTCTGTGGGCTAGCTTTTATAGTACCAGAAGGAACTGTAAGGCTGCTGGAGGGAACTGTGGTCCAAAGTACTAGCAGCTGAGGCTTCTGCATGCTTCAGATGGAGTGCGAGGCATGATGTGCATGCTTCAGATGGGGTGCGAGGCATGATGTGCATGCTTCAGATGGAGTGCGAGGCATGATGCGCATGCTTCAGATGGGGTGCGAGGCATGATGTGCATGCTTCAGATGGGGTGCGAGGCATGATGTGCATGCTTCAGATGGAGTGCGAGGCATGATGCGCATGCTTCAGATGGAGTGCGAGGCATGATGCGCATGCTTCAGATGGGGTGCGAGGCATGATGTGCATGCTTCAGATGGGGTGCGAGGCATGATGTGCATGCTTCAGATGGGGTGCGAGGCATGATGTGCATGCTTCAGATGGGGTGTGAGGCATGATGCGCATGCTTCAGATGGGGTGCGAGGCATGATGCGCATGCTTCAGATGGAGTGCGAGGCATGATGCGCCAGCTAGTGCAATATGGCTTGAGTGGGTATAGATAGAGCCGCCTTCTTTTTTATGATTTATTTATTTTTACTTTACATGCATTTCTGACTGTGTGAGGATGTCATATCACTTGGAGCTGGATTACAGACAGTTGTAAGGTGCTGTGGGGGGGAGGTGCTGGGAATTGAACCTGGGTCCTCTGGAAGAGCAGCCAGTTCTCTTAACTGTTGAGGCCATCTCTCCAGCCCCAGAACTGACTTTCTGATTGGATTTAAGGCCCACTCCATGGGGCGATATTTGCATGTGGTACTGGAAACTGGAGACACCTGTACCCAGGAAAGTCACAGGCCTCAGCGGAAGAACGACTGTTGCTGTTTTGTCTATGAAGATGCTCTACAAATGGATAGATAATAAATTCAATAGAAGACTCACATGCAAGGCTGGTTTCAATCCCTCCAACTGCATAATATAACACACACACACACATAGCTATATACACATTTTTTGTTAACAGTTATTTTGAATGAATATATATTTAAACTTTTCATTTTGAATAAATTGAGTATAGATAGATTAAACCCTACTTTAAAAAACTCTTTGAATTTAATTATTTTTAAAGTGCCTGTTGAGCTGGGCATGGTAGCCCATGCCTTTTTATCTCAGCACCTGAGAGGCAGAGGCATAGGCAGGTAGATCTCGGTAAATTCAAGGTCAGCCTGGTCTACAGAGCAAGTTCCTGGACAGCCAGAGCTACACAGAGAAACCCTGTCTCAAAAAATCCAAAACCAAACAAACACCAAGAAGTGCAGGTTGGCTTCCATCTCATGGCAATTCTCCTCCCTCAGCCTTCCAAGTACTAGGATTACAGGTGTGAACCACCATGAAGGGCTTAGATAATTAATTAAAAACAAAAGGAGAGCCTGGCATTATAGCATATACCTGTAATCCAAGCCCTTGTGAGGTAGAGGTGGGGGATCAGGAGTTCAAGTTCCTTGGGTACAAAGTGAACCCCAGGTTAGCATGGGCTGCATGAGACCCTGTCTCAAAACAGGAAAGAAACAAAAACAAAAAGAAAGAGGTAGCCAGGCAGTGGTGGCTCACGCCTTTAATCCCAGCACTTGGGAGGCAGAGGCAGACCTGATCTTCAAAGAGAGTTCTAGGACAGCCTCCAAAGCCACACAGAAACCCTGTCTTGAAAAACAAAAACAAAAAGCAAAAACAAAAAGAAAGAGGCTCAGTGGTTAGGATTGCTTACTGCTCTTCCAGAGGGCACACTTTGCTTCCCAGCACCCATGTGAGGCAGCTCACAGTCACATGCAAGTCCAGGTCCTGGGGACTTGACGGCAGCGCGCGCACACACACACACACACACACACACACACACACACACACACACACACACATCTTAAAACAAAGCCAGGAAGATCTACAAAGCAAGTTCCAGGACAGCCAGGGCTACACAGACAAACGCTGTCTCAAAAACCAAACCAAACCAAGCCGGGCGGTGGTGGCGCACGCCTTTAATCCCAGCACTCGGGAGGCAGAGGCAGGCGGATCTCTGTGAATTCGAGGCTGGGCTGGACCGATAGCCTCCGACAATACAGAGAAACCCTGTCTCGTAAAAACCAAAAACAAACAAACAAACAAAAAAACAAACAAAAAAAACCAAACCAAACCAAACAAAACAAAAGCTCAGGAGTACATGGCTTGTGGGGGACATGATGCCCACCACCACAGAACAACCCCTAAACAACAAAAGCTCTTATTTTATTTTACTTATTTTTTTTTTACTTAGAACTTTGTAATTATTAGAGCAGTGTTAAAGAATTATAGAGGGTTGGGCAGCATTGGAGAGATGGTTCAGCCATCCTAATAGAGCACTTGGTGCTTTTCCAGAGAACCCAGGTTTGATTCCCAGCCTCCACGTGGAGGCTCACAACCACTTGTAACTCTACTCCTAGGGGACCTGGCATCCTCTTCTGGCCTCCTCCTACACCAGCCAGGCACCCATGCAGTGCACAGACATACACTCAGGCAAAACACCCATACTCATATAACAAGTTAAATAAAATAATTATTTTTTGGCTTTATTTCTCTTTTAACTTATTTAATTAATTAGTTTTTGAGAGAGAGTTTTGGTCTGTAGCCCAGGTTGGCCCAATCCTTGGACCTCGCTCTCCTGAATGCAAGTATTATAGCTTACATTACAAGGCAGATGAGCTCCAAATTTTTAGCTCGTTCCCAGTGCGCCTGGCAGAGTTCCCTCTCCCTTTTGGAATGTGTGTGCTGTCACCGTCTCTCCACATGGTCCAGTTCATTGTTTTCCTCCTTAAGAAGGAAGAAAATTTATGCTTTCCATAGCTACTGTCTCCAGGACAGATATGACTGCAGGCTGGCCAGTCAAGAGCTGCACAGATCCTCGTGATTTGCTTAATTCTCTCTCTGCTGTTTCTAAGCCCCACTTTTTAAAAAGCCACTATTTATGGAGCACTTTCCATGTTAAGAATCTCACATTCATTTTCTCATTGACTTATAAGAAAGAGTCTGCAAACTAGACACTGCTACTCTCCAGCAGGAAAACCCAACCTCAGGGGATGAGAGGCCATCTGTAGGAATGGATGGACATCAAATCCCCTTAGATGCAAAAGATGAAAGGATGACTTTAAATTTTGTTAAATACACGTGAGTCTGGAGAGGTGGCTCAGTGGTTAAGAATGCTTGTATTGTAGAGGACCCTGGTTCAGTTCCCTACACCCCAGATGGTCACTAAGAAGTGTCTGTAATAACAAGGCAGTGAATCTGATGCCCTCTTCTGACCTTGTCAGGTATTGTATGCACATGGTATGAAGATACATGCAAGCAAAACACCCATGCACATATACATAAAATAAACATAAGTAACATTTTAGATCCTTACCTGACCTTTACCACGCCCTTTATAGCTGGGCCTCCACCTGAGCCTCTACCTTCTGGTCCTCACCTCCAGCCCCAGTAAATGTCATGTTTATGACCAATAAACTTGAACCTCTTAACTATATATATCACTATATTATACCTGGCTTTTTATTCTTCTAGAACTCGGTTTGGAGCCTTCTCACTATCCTCTGCATCCTGAGGCCATCTGTTTTTCCTACCCATATCTGCCCATCTGAGGCACTGTGACCCTCTCAGGAGCCAGACTCTGACACTGGCCTGCTCCAGGGAGCAGCTGGGGAGTGGAGGCCAGAGGGAGAGGGCGGGGCTTGAACTGGGAAACTGAAGTGGGGAAGACATCAGCCCCAGCCATCTTCCCAGCAGGAATGTTCCCAGACACCACTGACCTCTCACCCCAACCTGCCTCAGTGTGAAGATGCGCTGTCTCAGCCATCCCCACTTCAAGGACCAGCCGCTGCCTCTTGCAGTATCTGGGGCATCGTCATGACAACCATTCCAGGCAAGCTTGGGGTGGGCTCTTCAGAGTCTTTGATTGCCTCCCCCAAACACAGCCTGATTCTCTTGGTAACTCTTAGGGCCTGAGCAAACTGGAGTGGCCGGAAGAGGAGGGACCATTGTCCCCCACATCTCTCAAGATAGGGAAGGCGGTGTCTCTGGTGCTAGGGTGACCTTTACTCAAGGTCTCTGTCCCTACATCCTCAGAGCCCCTGCTGACACTCTAGACCTTGGTGGGCATCTCTTATCTCCTCCTCACATGGGGAAGAAGAAGGAATTTGGGGAGGGTCTGAAGCCCTTCCTCTGCCCACCTGGGCTGTGGACCTGGTAATGTTGGGCCTTACTGAGTGGGTGGGGGTGGGGATGCTCAGGGCTTGGTGACCTAGGTAGAGGCCTTGTGTGAGTGATTAGCTGTCACATTGGGTCTAAGCTCCTTACTCTCCCAATCTAGCTTTCCCATTCCCAGATGTAATCCACAGGTAGGGGGATGGGACTTGAAGGCACTAACAGGGTTTAGCAGGCTTGGTGGGTCTGAAGTGACCCATTTAGCACGCCACCACTAGTGGCCTTGGGAAGTCCACTGCCTCTGTCTCTGTGAGCATCTTGTCTCCCCTTGCCTCTGGGTATGCGAGTCTGTGCCTCTGTCTATGAAGCTGTTGGTGGTGATAGAAGGCATTGGGTAATGAGTCACATGAGTCTCCATGACCGGACCGTGGGCCGTGGTTGGGGACAGGACACGGGGACACAGACTTGCAGGAGATGTGGGTATTAGGCAACACAGGGTTTAAATGGCAGTGTGTGTGACTGACCCAGGGTTTCAGGAACACTGGCTCATTTGTGTTTGACACAGATTGGGTGGCTCTGAATTGTAGCTAATACAAGATTATCCTGATGATGCAATGACAGCAACCCAAAAAGAATTTGGGGAGCAGCAGAAAGTTTTAACTGGGGCAATTTGAGTCCACACCCCATGGATGTTTGCCTGTAACTGGACTCATTTTCAGTTGAAGAACCCTAAGGGTAGAGTGTGTGTGCGTCTAACAGGAAGTGGCTTGGTTGCTACCCACAATCCTACAATGCCCAGGACAGGTCCCCACATTAAAGACTTGTCCGCCCCAGAACGAGAGAAGCCCTGGCTTTCTACCCGATGGTCACAGGCAAGTTTCTTCATCCCTAGCAGGGGCACCTGGGTCATCCCTTCTTAAGGTTCCTGGGATGATCCATGAAGTGTCTGCTGTGCTCTATTTGTTGGCTCATACCTGGAGTGACCGTGAGTGGATCTGGATGCAGGGACTTGTACCTTCTCTCTTCTTCCAGCTACTCTGGTGCTTCAGACAGGCTTCCCCCACTATGGAAGGCTGTTGGTGACATCAGAGGAAACTCGATGAGCCCTTTCCTGGTTCACTGCCTGTAGCACCACCCACAGAAGGGCTTGGATTGACTAAGCTTCCATCATGGGATAGCTTGGAGCTCTCAAGTGCCAAGATTTCCATCAGAACCACCTGATTGGAGGAGGGGCGCTTCCATTAGAGGCAGTGAGCTGGCAACATGTCCTTACCTGGGGGTTGAGGGGAAATTGGATGACATAGCATCTGGTTCTTCATGGTTATGGGGTACCATCGTCCAAACTAGGATTATCTCAGAAACATGAAGTCCTGCTGAGCACTCCCTGCCCTTTCTATCCTTCTTAACAAGGAGGTCTCTGAATGCCCCCACGTCACTCCTCTGGCTTCTGCCTGGGCATATTGATGTGTTCAAAACTCAGTCCCTAGACCAGCATATGCTGCACACCTTTAATCCCAGAATTTGGGAGGTAGAGGCTTCCTGGGCTACATAGAGTTCCAGGACAGCCAGAACCACGTAGAGACCCTGTCTCAAAAAGAAAAGAAAAACAAACAAAAACACCCCCTCACCACAAACCCCCTCAGTCCCTCCTCCCAGACCCTCTTCCTCCAGACCTTCCTGGGTGGCTCACTGTGAATTCATCTTGGCAGTTTGAAATCTTAGTAGAAATATTAACATCACAAAATTGGAAACTCTACAAATCAGGCCCCTCCCTCCTTCCCTCCCTACTCCTTCCTTCCTTCCTTCCTTCCTTCCTCTTTCCCTCCCTCTTTCCTCTCCCTCCCTTCCCTCCCTCACGTCTCTTCCTCCCTCCCCCCACTTACCTTAGAGATAATGGTTAGGCAGTCACCAACACACCACTTTCTGACACCCCTGTCACAGAAAATCTGGTTTTACCTAAACCTTGTTTTACTCCAAGCCTGTTATCATTCAAAATAGTTCTCAACACACTTTACGTATCACCGTTTGTGATTCCAAATGATTGTACCTCCAGTTTAATTAACCTGGAGTCTTTTTCATCCAGACTGTATCTCCACAGTCCTTTACCTCCTAGTGTCCCCCAGACTGCCGTCAACAACACAGCATCACTCAAGACTGTTGCTTATAACCCAAAGTCACCAGCCCCTAATGTGACACAGATTGCACCATCCAGATGCCCCTTACCTAAGTCATGTTACCTGGTATTGGTGTGTGGATATAATTTCTTATTCTTTTTGCTTGTTGTGTGTGTGTGGTTTTTTTTTTTTTTTGTTTTTTTGTTTTTGTTTTTTTGTTTTTTTTTTTGAGACAGGGTTTCTCTGTGTAACAACCCTGACTGTCCTGGAACTCACTTTGTAAAACAAGCTAGCCTCGAACTCACAGAGATCCACCTACCTCTGCTTCCCAAATACTGGGATTAAAGACAACATGTTCTTTCTGATTTTCTTGCCATCAGCCACTGAATGGTAGGATTCTTGGCATGTATCACCATCCTGTTTAGTTTGTCGTCAACACAAGCTAGAGTTTTCTGGGAAAATGAAACTCAATTGAGAAAATGCCTCCATCAGATCTGCCTGAAGGCAGAGGATCTCTGAGTTTGAAGTCAGCCTGGTTTACAAAGTAAGTTCCAGGACATTTGGGACTACACAGAGAAGCCCTGTCTTGAAAAAAAAACTAACATAACAAAAGAAAACAAACAGAAAACCCCAAAATACAGGCACTAAAATATTGCATAAAATTACACCTTCTAGTCTATGTATATGAATTATATATGAAACACAAAATAATTTTGAAAGTTATTACATTTATACCATGGTGCACACGTAGAAATCACAGGACACCTTGTAATAGAAAAACTTATACCTGCTGAGTTTAGCCTTGAATCCTATGTGCCCAATATCTCATTTATATGCAAATAGTCTCAAATTTGAAAATCTGAAGTTTGACTACATATATATTTGGCAGAATCTTGTTTTCTAGCACATCTGATATTTAGCTTGTGATCCTCCTGCCTCATAAGAACTGAGATTACAGATGTGTACCTCCATCCCTGACCAGGCCTCAAGCTTTTGGAATAGGGGACACTTAAACTGACTATTGTGTTCCCTATTATAAGGAAATGATATGAAGAGCTCTCTGGCTTTTCCAAATCCACGTAGCCAGTAAGTGACAGACTCAGGGCAGCCCACACTCTCAGCCCCAGGCTGCCACTCCTCCCAGAGCACATTTAAGCTTAGATGCTAGACCAGGTTGATGTTGGCATGCATAACAAGAGGAACTATTGTATTTGTAAGCAAGTTTTAGGCACAGAAATGTTTTCAATACAGAGTCATTCGCTTTGTTTTCCTAAGATCAAGTTGTGCTAATAGCATTAAGCCACTCATGTGGACTGCCCTCATTGGACAAGCAAGAGACTTGTGGCGACTTTAGGCAACAGCCTTGCAGGGGGTGGGGGTGAGGTGGGGGTGGGAGCAGTCAGGGTTGGTCCTGGGAAGAAGGGTGGTAGGAGGAAGAGGAAGAGAGGTGGCAATGGAGGTACCAAAACAACTCAACTTAGACTGGCACTGGAGTCACAGGATGAATTGATAAACCAGTCTTTGGATGATGACCCAAGGCCCAACTCAGTGCTTTGACTTTTCCCAGATTATTGTTAAAGAACCATCATGATGAAATGAATGTCACTAGCATCCATGGGTCAACCATCTTAAGAGAAAGCATACCTGCGTCAGACTGTGAGGACCCTGCTGTGGAGCCCAGGGTCATGTGGACCAGGGATAGCTGAGTCCTATTCCTTATCATGCCAATGATTTCCTCCTTGGGTGAGGTACGAGTCTCTAGATTGTGGTGGTAGGTTAGATAAAGAGGACTTCACAGGCCAATTTGACCCCTGTTAGATGTGGGACTGTAGTGCCCCCTCATGGAAGCGTCCAGAATTTAGGTGGTATCCGTTTGGGGGTTGGCTGAAGCCATCAAAGGGAAGATATAGTTCACTGGAGGCTGAGTGTAAGAGACGATAACTTCAAGGTTCTTCCTCAGTGGGTACTTATTTGTCTTAAAAATGTATGTTTGGACACTGAACCTCTCTTTGATATGATTAGATTTATAACTGCTTGGTTAATACTGTGTATTTTGGCTTCATCTGGATGGCTTCTCCTAAGTACAGAAATGAATAGCTTTTTTTGTTAATCTAAATTTCTCTGGGAAAAAAATTGTGTGTTTGGCTGAGGTGTAATGTGTTTAATTTATGAATCACGCTAAGATTTGTCTACAAATTAGACATGTTGAAAAGTTGAGTCTGATTTTTTTGCTTTTGTATGCAAATAGTACATGAATACATTAATTTAATGAACTTTATTGAAGTAAATAATTCATGCAGAAGAGCATATTAATCATAGGTTATACATAATTACCACTTCAACACATCTGTGTAAACCTCACTGGCTTAGTCTGCTGAGGCTGCTGTAACGCAGTACAACAGCAACAGACACATTTCTCACAGTGTGAGGTTGGGACATCCAGGACCAAGATGTGGGCTTTCTTCTTCTTATCCTGCACATGAATGCCTTCTCACTGGATAATGGATATGGAAATGGAAGCCTCTGCAGGTTTTAGGAGGGTGCAACAGTCAGTTGTTAGCAGCGACCAGCTAGAAAATTGTCTCTTATGCACCCCTGATCACACTTCTTTCCATCCTCCCCAGGAAACCACTAAGCAGAGTTTAACTTGGCTTTGAACGTCATATAGTTATAGACAGCATTTACTCTTTTTTTTCATGAGCCTAATCTTGTATGTATAGTAGCTTGTCCGTTTTCACTGAGGGGTAGTATTCTGTTGCATGAGTATATTGCTATGTGTGCATTCTAGTTTTTCAGTTTTTGTTTTGTTTTATTTTTAGGATTTTGTTTTGTTTTTGTTTTCGCTTTTTCATAACAGGGTTTCTCTGTAGCTTTGGAGCCTGTCTTGGATCCCAGGATCAAGCTGGGCAGGCAGTGAAAGCCTGAAATCCCAGTGCCTGGGAGGTAGATGTAAGAGGACCAGGAATTCAGAATCATCCACAGCTATGTTGTGAGTTTGAGGCCAGCCTGGGGTATCTGAAAGAAAGTAGTTGTAATATGAAAAAGAAAAAAGAAAAAAGAACTTTGGATCAAGCAATTCCTGGCCAAGACACAAACGCAAAATTGTTTCATTTCCCTGAAAGGTTAATAAGAAAACTGATAAAATCAGGTGCAACCCCAGAGGGGACATGGAGAAGAACCAAGTTGGGGCCACAAGATGTTGCATGTGAGATGGCAAAGATATTTATACAAGGCCTTTGCCACCTTGTCACTCCAAACCAAAAATGTCACCACTAAGGGAAATAAACACATTTCCCGAATGCTTCCTTCTATCAGAAGGCTGATAGAAGACTCTGGGCCGCTGTCCTCATGCCAGGCCACCCTGGAACTACTCAAATGTCCATCAGTAGAACGGCAAGGTTTTTTTAAACCTATTTATTTATTTGTTTGTTTGGTGTGTGTTTGTGTGTGGAGGTCAGAGGACAGCCTGCAGGAGTCCGTTTTCTTTCCACGCTGGACTCCGTGAGAGCAAACTGAAGTCATCAGGCTTGGAGACAGGTGTCTGTGCCAGATATGCCATCTCAATAACCCCTATTTATCTATTTATTTCAAGTGCATTGGTATCTTGCCTACATATATGTATGTACAGCACTTTCATACCCGGTGCCTTCAGAGGCCAGAGACGGGCTTCAGGTCCCCCGGAACTGGAGTTACAGATGGTTGTGAGTCCCCATGTAGGTGTTGAGAATGGAACCTGGATCCTCTGGGAGAGCAGCCAGTGCTTATAACCACTGAGCCATCTCTCTAGTCTTCTTTCAAAAGTTTAATTACATTATTTTTGTGGCACTAGGTGAGCAATCAGTCTAGCACAGAACAGCAGTCTCCCAAGGTCAAATACATTCCGATGCCTTGTTGCATGGTGTTAGAAAAGAAAAGGCGGTGCTGGGTGTGGCTCTGTTGGGAGAATGTTTATCTAGTGCTATAGTTTGGTTTTCTGTTGCTGTGAGAAACACTAGCACCAAAACAACTTGGGGGAAGAAAGGATTTCAAAGGGGGAACCTGGAGGCTAGAGACTGACTAAAACCATGGAGAACACTGTGTTCTGGCTTTCTTCCTCTTGTTTATTCACCACCAGCCCCACCCCCCACCCCACCATGGGGACAGTTGTGGTACCACTATGTAGCCTTGGCTGTCCTGGAACTTGTTCTGTAGACCGGGCTGGCCTCAAGTCCACAGAGATCCACCTGCCTCTGCCTCCCTAGTCCTGCGATTAAATATGTAGGGCCACTACACCCAGTACAGCTGCCTTTCTCAGGAAGACCAGGCCCACTCACATAATTAGCAATCAAGAAAATGCCCCACAGATGTGCCCACAGAACACTGATAGAAGCAATTCCCCAGATGAGGACCCCTCTTTCCCACATGTGGTGGAACAAGAAACAAGATGTCATACCTTGCTGTGCATAAAACTAGCCATGGTGGGAAATACCTGGAATCTCAGCTTTGGAGAGAGGCAGCAAAAGGATCACAAATTCAAGATCATCCTCAGTTACATACTGAAGTCAAGGCCAGCCTGGGCCACAAGAAACTCTAGCTCAAAACAACAGCAAAAACTACAAACAGAAAGATAAGAGGAAAAAAAAGAACGAAATGTCAATAGTAAAACATGAGTAGACCTCACTTATGAAGAACCTGCCTGACTTCATTTCGAAGGCAGGAGCCATTATGCTGTATTGTTCAAAGTAAGTTTCTATTTACTGTAAGATGTGAGTTGCTCTTTGTTTCCTGGAACCTGATCTTCCCCAATCCATGAACATGATTTGTTTTTGAGAATACCCTGATCCACCCTGACCTTCTCTGAACACCCCCCTGAACCCTCCTTAATCACATGGTGACCACATGACTTTTTTAAAGTTTCTTTTTTTTTTTTTTGTA